ATTAGCTTCTAATGCCTTTGTAGTTCCCTGATTTAGATGTTTAAGTTTTGTAAAGCACTGCTGTTATAGATACAATTGCATCGTGCCTTTTTTTGATGTTGCTGCTGAGCTGAAGTGGAAATTCCTACAGGGATGAATTTAGTGCATGACACATGTGGTCCTTAATGCCTTTTGATGGTGAGATTAGGAAGAATGACTCAGAAGCAAAAAGCCTTCAGGCATTTTTCCCCCTAGTTTTAAGGCACATTAGGAAAATATTATCACTTTTGAGGGTGTGTTTTCTATAAAACAATTGTTTATTCCAACTTTGTTTCTGTTAGAGTTTGTTCAAAACATCAAGCTCAAGAATCATCTGCAAGCTAATATTCTGCTGTAGAATGATTGCTTAAAATATGTTAAGTGAAAAGTCCAGGATAGAATATACTACCATTTTGGGAAAAAATGAAGTGGACAAGAGAAACTGGGGATATTCCTTACCTGTGGAGAGGACACTGGTAGCTGGGAGAAAGGGTGGTTAGTACTTTTTGAACTGTGGATCATAGGCTATTTACCTGCTTTACACAAGCAAACAGTACATACATAAGAGAGGAGATGCTTGGTTGAGGATACAAAAATAAGCTGTCATTCTTTTCTGTTCTTTGTTTATTGCTTAAAGGGCAGTGGGCTTTGCAATTAGATGCACATAACATCTGAATTCTTGCTTGAGTGTTGAGGCCATGGGGAAAGTTCTATAACTTCATGAAAAATTTGGGGAAACCTTGTTGGCTGGGTTTTCACGTAGATCAAATATCATAAGGACCATTTCTTAAAGTTCAGTTTGAGAACGTATCATCATATGACCCTGGGGTATAGAATCAAGAAGATAAAACAGATTTCAGCCTGGGTATGAACATCTTCCTGTGAAGAGGCTTTTCCACCATTCAGGAAAGACAAAAATTCATCCTACTGCTTGGGTTTCAGATAGTGGTTAAATTTTGCCTTACAGTTATTATAAATCAAAAGTTAACTTTGAAATGACCTTTAGATCCACCCCTAAGGGTTCAAGACAGTTGAGTGGTTAAGTGAATACTTGGACACCTTACCAGTGGGTCATTGGAAGAAATCAGTCAATTAGCTATAATCATTACCTTCCTCCTGGCATAACAACAGTCTTGTGAATATGAAAAATTCTGCTCTGATGGACAGAATTCAGGAGATGCATCATAAATTTTCCCTAGATACAGAAAAGGGTTTCTATTATATCTATGTCATTACCTAAGAAACTCTTAGGGCCAAATATTTGGGGCCTAGGCAGAACTATTAGCATTATATTGCTGTAAACTTAGCTATCTCCAACTAAATAGCTACATATACTGAAAATTTTGTTTAGGGGCTAGACGTAGGAAAATATGACAATTATATTTTGTGCTGTGTTTATTGTTTATATTTTTCTTTTTGCTTAAGCACTCAGTGAGTGCGCTTTGTAATATGACTCAAATGTAAGTACTTGGAAAAGAATTCCAGTTGGCTAAACCTAAATGGAGTTGACTTAGATAACAGAGAAGCAGGCTGACAGCAGATGAGATTAATATCTGTTTCAGGATGTTCTTAGGCTCTATCTCTCTGATTGTTCCACCTTTGTCTTCTGGGTGTTGACCTCTTCCTTAGGCTGATACTTCTCAAGTAGTAAAAGTGATGGGAACAGTTCCTGTGCTATACCTTTATACCATATCTAGATAAGAATAAGATGTCTTAATCTTGTGCATGAGAATTTGCTCCCAGGGCCTTCAGTCAGGACTAAAGGTCGCAGCCATGGGACAGAAAGCTGAACTAGCTATTGATGGCTATAGATGGGCATTACTAAGCATTTTTTCCTCTAATAGCAGGGAAGAAGTGATCTAGTCTCTTTATTTGTGGGTAAGATTTGTATATTACCATTTCTTATTTGCTGCTATAAGATTGTGTTCCTTGAGGTGAGACATTAGAGAGGAATTCAAATTGCCCTCTTACCTTTATTTTATCAAAAATCAATTTTTGGTTTAAATTACACCTAACCTTCTACTGATTTTAGAACTTTTAGATTATGCAAAAAAAAAATTTAGATACTTCCACAGTGATTACTCATTACTATTTTTTTTTAAAGAGAGACAGTATGAAAATGTCTATATAAAATGCATACTCTCATGGCATTGATCTTAACAAACTCCTGTTATGTGCAAATCAGGTGTCATGCATGGGTCCAACTGCAGCAGATTTAAAAATTTCATGTTAAAGCTTATCCATCAAAACAGTGAAACTGAATGAAATGGTTAACAGTCAGCGTTGGTAGGTGGGAAGAGAGAAATGCCTGATAGATGGACAACAAGAAGAAAAATGTTAAATATGTCTGAAGTCTGATGACCCAATAATGAACAGTTTCTCTAAAAACACAATGATTTGGGTATACTTAGTTGAGATAACAATCTGAGCATCACCCTAAGGAACTATAAGAACAATTAGTAGAGGCCTTTAATCATAAGTTAATGAAGCCACCTTGTAGCTTATTGCACAATTTAAAGTTCTTGTGACTGTGGGGAGCAACTTACTTTCATTGATTGTATGGCTCAAGTGTGACTAAGAATCTCATCATTTTTCATTTAATCCAGTAAAAGGGTTAGATTCACAGAGAATAAACAGTGCTTTTCTGGGTAATACTTTATTTATTTATAGTCTTCTTTGTATCATGAAGGACTTAGGAAATCTTACATAAGTGAGATAGCATAAACAAGAAGAGGAGAAAGAAAAATATGAATAAGACACAAAAAGTAAGAACAGGCCCTCCCTGGTGGTGCAGCGGGTTAAAGCACAGTACTAAAAAGCTAAAGTCACTCCAGCATGAGTTCGATTCCTGCCCCGGAGGTGACCCACATGGTGGGCAGACCTCTCCTGACCCACTCGCTGCTCCCCTCAGCAGTGTACTTGTCGGTTGGCCTGTTCTGCTCCCCGCTCTGTCTCTGGTGAATCCTCTCACTGCCCCTGCACCTCTGGCCTATAACCCAGTTCTGCATCATAAATAAATACATCTTAAAAAAAAATTTTGGTAGTTCCAAAATGCTTGCTGAATCCTATAATTATTTAGTGAAAGGACTCTGCATTTTTGCTAAGTGGAAAGCAATCAAATATAAAATTCACAATTTCCAGAAGGATGAAATAATTTTCAGGAAAAATAAAACTGTTCCTAATGCTCAGTGGAGAAACCTTCCCTCTGGAGGGCCTCACGGGTGGAATCCGACATCATGTAATGTACCACTCCCCCCATCCTCACTGTCGAGGCCATCCTGAGCCTGGGAGGATTGTTTAGTAATTGTATTTGCACTGATATGTGCACTCGCACTCGATTTGCAGAGCTTGCATTCCATGCATGTGCTAGCTTGCATTCCATGCATGTGCTCCTCACAATAAACTCGTGAAGCAGGCTGTATTATTAGCCCCCAAATTGCTGATGAGGTCATTGAGATGCAGTGAGGTTACAGATTTACCCAAAGTCAGGTGTTAGTAAGTAATGGGGCTGGGACACGGGCCCGAACTGCTTGGCTCTAACACTGCTATTTCCCCAGATGCTTTATACTGAGCTGTCATTTTAGTTCCAGGAAGGTCCATCCAGTGAAAATGACAATACTTGAGATCACTTCCCCATAAATTATATATTCCAAGAGGGATTAGATAGCTGTACCTTAATAGGATGCGAAGATGATGTCCACATTGTCTATTTTCAGCTGCTCAGTTATCGCTGCTCTCTTTGAGGGTCACCCACAATGTCCTCAGTCACTACACCTGAAGGTGCATGCATGCCTTGGGTCACAAAAAGAGGACCAAGAAAGAATCATGAATTGTAGCATGTCCCGACTTCTAGAAAACAACTGAAGTCCATGACCTTTTGATGAAATATCCTTAGGCCCATGACCTTTTGATGCCAATATTCATTCATAATAAGACACATTTTGCTAGCTTTTCTTTAAAGTGGTGTTTATAAATGTTTATGAATAGCAGCTAACTTGATTCCTCTTAACCATGAAAATTGGTGAGCAATGAGCAAGGCAAAGTTTGAAAGGAACTTGGTAGGGAAATAATGGTATCCCTACTGAAACATTTTCAGCTGAAAAAGTCAAAATGTATAACTTGAGTTCTAAATTGAGTGTTCAGAATGATATCCTTTTAAGCTATGTTTTAGGGCTGTTATGTGATTAATGGTTTTGCTGAAGAGGAAAAGGTTTGCTCTATAAAATGACTGTTCTATAAAGTTAAGTTTCCTCAAAAACAAATTTCCCTGACTTTTAAAAGAAATGCTTAACTCAATAAAAATAACATTTTTGAAAGATCCAAATTTTGTTTTGGGACCAACATGGTGGCTTACTAACCATGTGATTGAAATTTTCATAATGATAACCTTTTAATAGTTCTGCTGGATGCTTAAAAGATTCATCCTGTCATGGAATATAAATGAATGAGAGTGATGCTGAGATATGGTGAAAAGAACATTGGCTGGGAATCAAGAATCTTGACATTCCCAGGTCTACTTTAGCCTGGTGACAAAAGAAGACATGACACTCTTTGTATGTCATTTGTCTCATGAACTGGAGTCTGACCTGGATCCAAATACCAATTCTGACACCTATTAGCCAGATGAGATTGGATTAGCTTCTTTGGGCCTCATCTGTCATATGGCTTTAACAATCTATGGATTTTGTTAGTGTGGATATGTCCTGGCATAATAATAATATGCAGTCTTAAGTAGAATAGTCAAGACTGTTGTCCCAGCCTTACAGGTGAGATCCCTGAAATTAAGACAATAGATAATATGAATTTAATTAGGGTCATTTATCTAGGATACGGAGGTCCTGCATAGCAGATCCTCCTGAAATGTAGCTAATGGGGTCCTCTTAATTCCAAGGAACCACATGGTTAAACAGCTTAAATTTGGGGATCAGATAGAGATAATAGGTACATAGGTAAAAGTAAAACTTGATCTCATTTTTCTACAGGAGTGGCAAAAACTCAACTATGATATCTATGCCCTGCGACAGATTCGAAGGGAAGTGAGAAATAGATGGAAACGTATTCTGGAAGATTTAGGTGAGTCTGAAAGCATGTGATTGTTCCTTTGTTTCTGCACTATGTTTTATCTAGCAGAAGTGCAGAGATGGACTAATTAGCTCCACTGTATACTAGTCATTCCCTCAATCCTGCCCTTCTTGCACCATCAAGCACAACCATCTGATATTTCTGTTATCACCAGCTAACAGAGGACACATTTGTCTTGAGGATACATTTTATCATGTGTTACTCATCTGTCATCATGATTGAGTAGCGTGGGGCTCTGGAATAATATGGTCATCACCCTGAATATTTTGGCATTACTCATTGATTGAATTAGACCGGAGTGATTGACCAATAAATAGTAGTAATACTTGAGACAGGCAGGGAGAAATATCGCCTGTAAATGAGACAGGAAGATCCAGTGTAGACTTTTAGAAGGACTGAAGGTTAAAAATTTCAAAATTGGAAAAATACATTATAGATAACAGATAATAGATAGTGGTTTTCTTACATCTGCCATGGTTGTGATATAATCAACATGGCTCTCACAATCTAAGATAATCTCGTTCTAATGTTTGAAAAGCATGTGAATCAATTTGAATTTGATTCCCCTGCTTTGAAAGAGAACATGACACCTTTGTATTGTACCTTTCTAAAAGTGAGGTTCCAAGTTGCTAGCCTCTATTGCAATGGATGAAATGGGGCCTCTCCCTCACGACTCTCCTAAGATTGTGATTTTATAGTGTCCTTTTCACAATGTAAGTTGTTTCAGGCAGGTTTAAAGCTGGAATCTTTTATACTGTTGGGTATGTGATTTTGCCCTGGGGGAAGGAACCTGAGGTTGGAGCAGGAGGTGTCTGGAGGTCACCACTTTTTTTTCCCCCACATTGCAGGTTTGGAAGGAAGGTCAGAATTCTGGGGGTGAAGGAGGAGGTAAAGAGTAGGGTTTGGGAGAAGGGTTTCAATTCAAGAAAAGGGTAGGGAGCTGTCAGGGGGTGAGCAGCTGCAAGTAACTGAGTGAAACAGTAAGACAACAAAGTAAGAAGGAACAGCAAAGGAAATGAAATTAAACACCCTGCAGATCACAGTTTCGTAGTCAGCACAGGGAGAGGTGCTGTTTCTTGGCATTTTTGTGAGAACCCCACAAAGGGGTCACCACTGGGGTCGGACTGCTGACCATTTCCCTGTGACTGCTTTACCTGAGGGTTCATTTTTTTAACTTAGGTTTTCAAAAGGAAGCAGACTCTTTGTTGTCAGTGACGAAACTCAGCACCATCAGTGATTCTCAAAACACCAAGAAAGCTCGAGAGATACTGTTGAAACTGGCTGAAGAGACCAGTATTTTCCCAACAAGCTGGGAGCTCTCGGAGAGATATCTCTTTGTGGTGGTAAGTGGATGCATGCTTCATCTGTCCTGATTTTCGGTTAGCTTTTGGCTTTTCTATTATCCCATATACACATCATTCCAACGCTATCACTTTGTCCAGAGTAGGAGGTCACAGATGATGAAGTTGGTTTTCAGTGGTCAGTAGCATCCAAAATCATGTGACTTTAAACATTCAGATTTCTGAATTGCATTCAAAGCTATTAAGACTGGCTCATGGCTGAGGAATCCGTATTTTTTCAGCCATTACTTCGGCGTAGTGAGCATTCTGAACTATTTGTAGCCAAAGAGATGTAAGAAATACTGTTTACATAACCTAAGATGGAAACACACTACATAAGAATGCTCAACTTGTAGACTTTCTTAGATAATGTAAATTAAGGATTAAGGATTGTCTCAAAATTTGTTGCGAAGATTTAATCAATGTTCTACTCATATATATCTTTAGGGTAGATTCTACTGTTGCTAGGTTGATTATCTTTCAACAGGGCTGATGCCCATCTTGACAAAATTTTTCTTTTTATTTTTGGCAGGACCGTCTCATTGCTCTTGATGCTGCAGAAGAATTCTTTAAAATTGCCAGTCAGACATACCCCAGAAAGCCTGGAATACCATGCCTAGCAGATGGCCAGAAAGAACTACACTACCTTCCACTTCCAAGTCCCTAACAAAAAGCTGTGAGGCAGAACTGGAATCTGCTTTGGGATTCAAGAGCCCACCAAGGCTGGATGAACGCATGTAGAAGAGAGTGAACAAACTGAGGACTGGCTAAGTTATTGAATCCTATAGAAATCTGAGGGTTTAGATAGCTGGTCTTCATGACGACCTTACTCAGAGAAGTGTTCAGTTTGCAATGAAACACACTGGTGACCTTTCATCAGGGAGGTGGTCAGTGAGATACTGCTTTACGAGTACTTAGATTCCAAGAAACCATTACCCCGCTTGGGTTGGTTGTTCAGTAAGCTTTAATTGCTAGTCCTATTGGAAGAATGGGATATTCTCTTAAATAAAACAGTAACATTACTGGAGCTATATCACTAGGCCCAAATATGGATGACCCATTTATAAATAATTTATATATAAGCTAACACAAAAATAATGCGAGGCATTATGTCACCTTTCTTTGATTTGGAAGAATCTTAGAGGGTGTCAGAGGCATCATTTTGAGTGACAGTTATAATTATTCAGAAATACCATGGACCAGGTAATAGAAATGTCTAAGAAGGCTGCTCAGAAGTAAGTTCCACATAGAATGACCCCAAGCAGAACTGTCTATAGCTCTGTGGACACAAGTTCTGTCTGCCATTGTGGTACAAACATCTTAAGTTCTTGACATATTTGAGATCTTGTTATCTCATTTTTGCACAGTGTCCATTTCCAGCCCACAAACCTTTGATATTTTAACCAGGAGAGCATCCATACGCTGAAACATTTGACCTCCAGTTCCTTTTCATCTCTTGAAACTGTTTCCAGCTCACTGACTGCCTCTTGCCCTCACCAGGGACCCCAAGGGCATACTTGCAGTTCTGCAAGTTGAATTGCAGAAGGTCATTGTCCAACATGTTTTCATTCTGAAGGTGATTTTCAACCTGGAGCAATGATGCCAATCCAGCTCGTCTCCATCTGCAGATTAAAAAGTCCAGCCTCAAAAGTGACTTGCTATATAAGCAAGGAGCTTGACATGAAATCATGGTTTATTTTATTGAAAAGACTTTAAGAATTGATAGGATTTATTAGTGGATTGCTGAGAACTATGGCAATATTTTTATTTTTATAGATGTTGCTCTTCTATATCAGGTCAAAAAGTAACTTGTATTTAGTCCATCTGGGGGACTTGAACATTTCCGTATCTTGAACAGCTCTTTTTTGTAGTGTACACAATGATCAAAACATTTGTTACAGGAGGTAGGTGGCCTCCATTTATTAATGCATTACAGACTAGTTTAACTGACCTGTTTTAGAAAAAATCCTCCCTAGTTTAATAAGTCAGCTAAAGTTTTATTTTTTATATTTAATGCTTCAGCCCTCTCTCGTGTTGTTTGAAATTAGCCTGCAGATATTTCCTCTCACTTTTCTGTAGGTTCTTGCAAAATAAATACACAAAAAATAAAATAAACAATAAAATACATCTTTGAAAATTGTATTGTGTTCATCTCTGTCCTCAGAATGTGTGTTCTGTCTTCCTGCCCTTTTTAATGTCCAAATAGACTAGGTTGTTTGCATCCATGGAGAAAAAATTAAAACCACAGTCTTTATTTTTATGCAATGAATGAGTGAAGATAATATTGTCTCTAGGATTATAAAATTCTACAAGAAATTCTCCTTCTGAGGAATTAAAAGTTTTCTGAATTTCCTTTTTAGTTGCATGTCTGTGATATGCAACGAAATGTAAAGAAGCAGAGACAGATGGGTTGAAGGACCTCTCTTTATAAAGCCAGCCAAGGGGAAAATCTGTGCCCATGTCCAGTGGCCACTGCAGGGCATGAAGGATGACTTAAGTGGCCACTTCAGAAGTTACTAGATGACTACCAGGATGTGCCTGAGGTTGGAGGGCTTTCCTGCTTTCTAAATGTCTCCCTGTTGCCTGCTCTAGTACCTCTCAAGGGATCTGTGTATGCAGGGTAACTTCAGGTTGTAGATGGAGGGCAGTTTTTGCATTAATTTTTATTTTTATGTGTACCAGAGGGAGCATGTTCCCTGTAATTACATCAGACACATGTGCTCCTATTTCCTGGGCATTATTGCAGTGAATGATGAAGTGTTTAGTTTTCTTAACTGAGGCACCTTGGAAGACACAGAGAACACACTGCCCAAAGTGATGAAGGACTTGTTGGTGAGGGACACTAACATCACTGAGAAGCTCAGTGGTAGCCCTGTGGGCCACGTGCTGTTTTCAAAGAGGGCTTGTCAATGCAATGGGGGTGGAAGAATAGAAGCTCAGTAGCAGTACTGAAGTCACTAGCAGACGCAAAGTGGACGCAATTATGAGTGTCCAGGCCTGAGGGGTACCCACAGAAAGCTCTGGATACGCTGTAGTCAGGAAAGCCGATGAAGTGTTTTGCTATTATCAAAGACTCGGAGCTTAAATGATTGCAACAGGGGGAGGCTGGGGAGAGAGCCATAGAGAACAGCTCTGCCTTTCACTCTCTCAGCCTAAGCTTTTATTAAAGATAAAGACAAAGGAGCACCATCCCCGGTGGCACAGGGATTAAGGACAGTGCTGTCAAGCTCCTGCCAGCTACTAGAGCACGAGTTCGATCCCTGCCCTGGAGGTGACCCACGTGGTACAGCAGACCTCTCTCTCTCCCTGCTGCTCCCCACAGCAGTGAACTTCAGTAGATCTGCCTGTTCTGCTCCCCACTCTCTGCAGTGAATCCTGTCACCATCCCCCCCCTCTGGCTTACACCCCAGTTCTTGTATGAATAAATAAACCTTTAAAAAAAAGAACAAAGGAAGGAGAAAATAGCGTGTGATTGTGTTATTGCTTATACAGATTAATAAGTGACTGCTGCAAACAAGCGTGTCTGGTTGCTGGAACATGAGCACAATCCATTGCATTGCCAGAGAACAGGCATCAATTCTGGGAAGAAGTTCTGTTTGCTGTCTGAAGAGCTTCTAATATCCTGGAACCCCATGTGCAGAGTAAATAGGTATTCTCAAAAAACTCCATCTCCCTTCAGGGAAGCAGGTGCCCAACAAGAACATGCCAGATTGATGGCTGATCAAAAGGACTATTGCTCCAGTTAGACCATCAAAAGATCTCAAGGATGGATGAACAGGAAAGAGATAGGACACAGACATCCTAATACAAAGTTAGGATTTTTCTCCGAGTTTCCACATCTTGGAAATTTTGCCAGACCAGACTACTGATAGAAGGAAAGGTAGGAGCCCCAAGAAGAATTTGCAAGAGAACCTCAAGTATATAGGTCAGTCATTCCCCTTGTTCTTCAGAAGGACCAGTGGTCACCTAGAAAACTGTACTGGGGAAATACTCAGAGAGTATTCCCTGAGTATAAGTACTCAGGGAGAACACAGGTCTAATTTGACATTTACACTCAGGGACAACAGTGTTATCACAGCATGCCTCTTTGGAATGGGCTAGACAGATTCAGACAATAAAGGAGTTTTATTATCTGACTTCACTCAATTATTTGCCTTGTAACTCAGTGCTCAACTCCCTACTTCCAGAGTAAATGATTACACTGAACATACTTGCGACTTGACAGAATCACTATTGTTCCTTGGGCTGAGAGTTAAAAACTGTTTTAGTAGGAAAGTTCAATGGAAGCCTCAGAAGCCGCTCCACCTCCCGGGCCAAGATAGTAAACCAAAATCAGCACTGCATCCCAGAGAGGAGGCAGGGAGAAGTGGTACCTTTAAAGATCTACAGGCTGCAGGAATGTTGATCCTGATGAAAATTCCATTTAATTCACCACATGGCCTCTATGGAAATGAGATGAATTCTGGACAATGAGAGTGGATTATGGGAAACAAATGGTAGCCTTAACTTCAGTTGCTGAGTTAGATGAGGGCTCTTTGAGAGAATGAGTTAACAGCGACTCAGTGACCTGGTGTGTGACCATGTGCCTGGCTATATGTTGTTGTTTCTATACCTATCAGAAAGTGCTTGCTGTTACTTGGGATGGAGACAGTATATATTAGTGGGCTTACTCCAGAGCCATCTAAACCATCCATCTAAACCCTCTAAACTTTCTGCTATAGTCCAAAGGAAGCTGGACTGCATGGACACTGGGCAGAATATCACATCGGTTACCTGTGTCAATGGCATGCCATGGGATGACTATCAAGTGGCAGGTATAATGGTGGCCTTGGCAAAAACTGTAGAGGATGGGAGATGAATCCTATGAAGTCTGGGGCACCTGTGTCTTTGGGAAATATTTTTTGGTATCCAGTAGTCTAGGGCATGGTTGGAGCAGCCCGTGCAAAAAAAGGACGACTTTTTTCATCTTAGACTCCCACCTGTAAAAAGCCAGCAGAATGCTTGGGGGCCTGTTCATGTTCTCACCTGCTGCATCCCTGCACCTGATGGCATGGCCAGCTGTGAGGGAGGGCTAGGGCAGGAAGGGGCTCCACAGCAGGACCAGGCCACAGACAAGGTGGCCATTGGACCAGAGGACTCCTCAGACCCAGTGGTAAGAAGAGATCAAGAGAAGAAACCAAGATGATCATGTTGTTTGTAAGGAGAACGATACAACATTGAAGAAACTGCTCATGACGATCTGAGTTTTTGTGCGACTCATTAAACAATACGGTCAAATTTAAGAGTAATCTCACTTTTTCTTATTATTTAAAAATATTTTAATACTACTAGTTTTAGATTTGTAGCGAAGTTGCACAAAAGGCACAGATTTGTATAAATTTCTTTTCAGGTGGCACATTTCACCTCTCACAAACCAGCACTGATATGTTATTATTAACTAAGGCCCATAGTTGGGATATCATAGTTTTTACCTGATGTCTTGTCCTGCTCTAGTGTCTCATCCAGGACACCATATCACGCTTAGCCGTGGCGCTCCGTTAGTCTCCCTTTGGCTGTGATCGTATCTCAGAGGAATCTAGAAAACAGCGATGGTCAGGACTAGAGTGGCTGTTAGACCAGCTGCAGCAGCGAGGCTCCAGGCTGTCCCCCCAGACTCATTTGCGTAATTTCCCTTGGGAAAAGATATGCATCAACGCTCCCCATGCTCCCGCAGGAACATGTTCTATTTTGTTTCTGAAAATCAGGTATGGCAGCGCTGTGAGGAACAGCTAGTGTTGTGGTGCACTGCTCAGGTCTGCCCCCTGTAGGACTGAAATGCTCATTGCCTCAGCAGCTGGTAGTGTTGGCTTTGCAGGGCTCGGCTGAAATCTTTTTGGGAATTGGAACCAGCTGAGGAGAACTGCTTTGCGCAAGGGTGATCCCCCTACTGAGGACATCCTACAATGGCTGACTAGTTACTTGGTATAGGAGCGTGAAGGACTATTCCAGCTGCAAGCTCCCCAATGGATTGCATGCAGCCTAGATTGAAACTACAACTCAAAAGTTTCCCCAATCTTTCCTCTGCTCTCTCCTCCATAGGAATTTGCTAATTAACTTCTTGCATGCCAGTCTCTATTTCAGAATTTCTTCCCCAGGGAACCCAATCACAACCATTCCTGTGTCTGCAAAACAAAACAGTCTGCATTTGTAGCTGACAATTTCATAGTGATTCCTTCCATATTAGTTTTACTAGCTTGACCTGATTGTTTTAACTATTGAAATATATATTCAGAATGAATCACTGAAAAATATATTTTGCCTTTGACATAAATTAGGACATTGTTTAAAAATTTTTATTTTCTGTAGTTATTATCTATATACTCATTTAACATAAGCAGTTAAATGATTTTGAAAGGCTTCCTTCAGCTGAATTTAGGTTTCCCATGGAGATATCTGTTTAAAGTCAACAAATTCTGGAAGATCTGCACTCGTGGCCACAGAAAACAGTTTATCTTATGATTCTACAGAGAGGGATCATGCACAAGACTGGCATATTCCCCACTGGGTTAATGCATTTATGTATTTTGTCAAGTCAAGTGGAATAAATATGCTTATGTCCTAACAAGTTGCACTAAAAGAAATGCAATGATCATTTCCAAACAGTTCTCAATTACAGAGTGAAAACGGTCAGTGAAAACCAGTTTACAATGGTTTAATAAGGTTATTATTGCCTCCTAGTGTATGATTCTGTATTGTCTTCACACACTGCAAATGGTCACGTGGCATTCCATTTTCCAAATCCCTCACACATGGGTTTAGAATGCAGAGGCTCATAGGAAGAGTCAGAGAGCCAGGTCTTGAGTCACTGAATGGAATTTAGCAGATTTTACTGCTGATCTATATTCCTAATATTCAGTGGGATTAAATTGTAAAGGAAGTATTTTAAAAACACAAAATTATGACTCTGATATACTGTAATAGCTAGATAAGGAAAGTTTCAAAAACCCCTGCTGCAGTTCTGAGGCAGCAATTTATTTGAAAAATTCCTCAGCATTAGTGGTTTCAAATATGTATATGTGTAAATAAACTATTCCATATCCAAAGACATGTAGCTAGCATCCAAGGT